GCGCGGGGGGGGGGGCAGGCTGGGCGGCGCGCGCTCCCCCCGCGCCCCCTCAGCGCTCGGCCCGGCCTGTCCCGGCACAATCCCGGCCTGTCCCGGCACAAACCCGGCCCATCCCGGCCTGTCCCAGCACAATCCCGGCCCGGTCCGGCACCTCCCGGCCCTTCCCGTGCCCGCCCGACGTGGCTCCTTCGTCGGGGGTCCTGCCCTCACCGGGCGGTGCCACGTCTGCCGCGGGCGCCTCTCCTCCCTGCGAATTTTATAGCTGGGGTGGGGGTGGAGGGGTGGGGGGAAATGGGGAGAAAAGTGCGTGGCAAATAATCCATCAAAAAGCCAGAGCGAGATCGATACGTCGTGTTAAATTTTAAATGTGTTTGCTGGCAGTTAAACTGCTCTCGACTCATTACAACAACAGTGCTGGATTTATTCTAATGCGCTGCAGTCTGAACAACAAGAGCATTAATTCTCCTTTAATTGTAAACTGGGAGCATTTGAAAACCATTCAGTGTGCAAATTATGCTGATTCAATTACCGTTTAGTTACAGACTTCATTACCTGAATACTTTTTTTTTTTTTTTTCCGGAGGACTTGGCATTGCAGAGTGAAGGAGACGATTTTCAAGTTTCCCTCGAAACAATGCGAAATATGATACAGGAAAAAAAAATCGGGAATAAAAGACAAGCTGGGGGGAGGGAATGCGCCCTTCAGCTGCTCTGTGTCTTCTGCCAAAACACTCGGGGAGGATCCAAAGGATTTCCCTAGCACGATTCTTCTTTCTTACTCTATACTTCCACGTTTATGCCAATCTCCCCCTATTCTCCGTGTTTCAGGAGCGACTCTGAAAGTTTGCATTAGGCCATCGCATGATAACAAACTGTTTATCAGCACCGGAGCATGAAGTTTTGATTAAAGCTTTAATGCGGCGCCACAAAGCAGCAAGGTGCAGCACTTTGTTGTGCCTATCCATAAGTGCACGTCGCTCCGCGTGGACAAAAGCAGTTGCAATTAGGAATTAAATTTTCAATGCTCAAAGTGTTAGGAAGGGTAAATGAAATGGCAGCACAAACAGCTTCCTATCGAGTTTGTTAAAAAAAACAAAAAAACCTTTTTGAGAGGGGTTAATAATATAGGTGAGAGGGAAAATAGCCTGTTTTCCCTTCGCCTGAATTAGGAGGTGTTCATGGAGAGTGAACAGCTGCAGTGAGGCTGGGCTGCCTTGAAGTCACTCATTTACAGGCACTGTCTGCCTAGTAATTTCTCTTCACTCAGCATACCACTGCTTTTTTTTTATTATTTATTTTTAATTTTATTCCCTTTTCCCTCTTTCCCCATTAAACCTCTTTGTAAGAAATTTTAAGAAAAAAAAAATAGTGCTTCTACCTTTCTTCCCCTTTTAATGGAGCCATATGCTATTCAGCCTTATTGCCTGAAATTTATAGAGATCATGGCTGATCTGAATAAGTAGGAATTTTGCTGGGGTAGAGATGGTTCACCATATTATGTTTATTGAAAAGAACATTAGTTGTGCATTTCGAGGTGCATTTTCTTCTTGTTTTGAGCTGTGCAGTGTATTGAAAATGTTATATTTGATTTGCAGTGGTAGTGCATTTCCTTTGGCCTAAATGGTTAACTTAGTACTTATTTGGCAGAATTAGGAGTTAACCTTTAAAGTCTTGCAGTTGTTTTCTTTCTCCACTTTTAGAAAGCTGCAAAAAGTATTCAAACACCTACACTAGATCTCATTTACCACGACAGTCCACATCACTGCTGTTCTTTCAAAAGCATCTTAGTCTGATTCTAATGGATGGTGTTTCCTTAACTAACAGTGCTGTGCTGAGCTCAAAATCGTCAGTGAGGAAGAACGTAAAGAATAAAGAAAAAAACCAAAATAACATCCGGAGATCGCAGACTCATAGAATTGAGTTCTGTTTATAAGGACGCTGGGATTTTGCACCATTCCTTTAAGGGAAACCTTCTCGTTGTACCTCCTGCCTAGTTGCCGGTGAACTTCCAGTCCGACACCCACAGCACGATAAAAGGCCAGGCTGTTTCTTTTAATTTCTTCCTTATTTGTTTTCCCCCTGTATGGAAGCAGCAAGCTGTAGAAGTGGCTACACAACGCGCGGGCTGTTAGGAAGGACGGCAAGGATCCTGAATATTATTTTTCAGAGGGACAGGTCAAGGAGGCAGATCGTTTCCGTGCCGGCAGCTGCGGAGCCGCTCCGTGCGGCGGGGCCCGGCGGGCTGTGGCCGGCAGCTCCCGGCGGCGACGGGCGCTCGTCCCGTCCCGTCCCGTCCCGTCCCGTCCCGTCCCGTCCCGTCCCGTCCCGTCCCGTCGGGCCCGGGCCCTGCTCAGCTCCGGCCGCGGGGCGCCGGGCGGCAGAGGGCTCGCACAGGCGGGATTTCACCCCCGTCACGGTCACAGGCTCCGCTCCGGCGAGGCACGGAGTGGGTACATGCACCTCTTTTGCCGGGATCATCCCGGCTCGAAGAGAGTTCGGCTCATTACTTAGGTGCTCCTACAGCCGAGCAGCGGGTACGGAACTAAAATCAGTAGGAATTTTGCGTGGCATGCTGCTAGGGCAAGGATCCCTCCGCCCCTTCATCCCCCGCCCGGCTTGTCGTCTTCTCCCAACAAAGTGTTTATTCACCGATGGGTTTAATTAGGATACGCACCGGAGCCGGGTGGCAGAGTGCTTCAACTCTGTGCAGAACTTAAGCAGCAAGAGCAAAGGGAGGGGTGGTTTAGCACCCCGCGGTGAAGGCTGTTGCGCGGGGGGAGCTTTCCTGCGCGGCGCTTTGCCAGAGGAGTAGAACTGTGGGGCTCACGGGGCACCTTGTTAAACACGGAGATGGCTTTGGCAAAGGGGCTTTGGAAACAGCCTGCTAACCTTCCCCCCGTGCCGGGCTGGGATTTTAAGGTCTGCTTCACACCGTCACTGTAGCTTGGAGGCCTTCTGACTGCCGCGAGGAGCTTCCCTGCAAAATTGTTGTGAATAACAGAGGCTTAAAATTGTCCTCAGCGATGGCACACTTGGTACAGTATTTGCTGATGGGGTAAACAGGGGGTTAGCGGCTCCAGAGTTTGTGTACATTTAATTTCGCTGCGTGTTGCACTGTTTGCGGTCATTTCACCCCGGTTAATGAAAGCTGTGGTGAACGTGAGGAAATATCACGTGCCAGCGAAGATAAGTTGATTTTTTTTTCTTCTTTCTTTTTAAAGATTGTTGCTGATTGTGTCCTACTTTGTCATGTAAGAAAAATAAAAGCCCAACTAACAAACCCACATCTCTATAGGCAGGAAACAAAAGAGACAGGAGGCATTGTCCTATAATAATCACCACCCACAGTATTTTCTCAGAGGCATTTGGAGGTGAATACATTCGGGTATTGCTTTTTTCCCCCAAATAAGCGATTTCTTTCAATTTTCAAATTGACGTCGAAGGCAGGGAGGGCGGGGGAGAGCGCTTGGCGAGCAGGGACAGTAGTGGCTTTTGTGTGCGGGGGAGTTTACGTAGCCTTGAGAAGCTCCTGCTCCCTCTTTCTAAACGAGTTTGAGAGACGCTGTAGCGGTGGTGTAAGGGGAAAAAAATTACCCTTTCGGAAGGTAAGGCATGGGAATAACAACGGGACCCCTACCTCGTGTAGGTGAAGCAAAACTTATCTGCTCTCTTGATTTTTTTTTAAATTTTTTTTTTTTTTTTCAAGCGGAGGATAGTGTATTCTTTTCCAGGTTTCCGTACTTCCTAACCACCAGAGACCTGTGCTAGTTTTAGAAGGGGTCTCCCCGTGCTGAACTTTCTTTTTCCTGATGCTTAGTACACACTACTTTAATTTAGCATATAGTTGGAGAAAGCAATCTGGAATAGATTTCACCTTCTTGGGGGGTACCTGAATGTAATCCAATATCCCAGTCTTTCTTCGACTAGCCAAATATTCCAAGTCAGAACGGTACCTAGAGGTATCCATTTTAACCTCTTTAATATTTTCCTGCATCTCTAAACCGCCATTTTAATT